GATGTATCCAGAAGTCATTAACGATTAAACATTATATTTTATAAAAACTACGTCACAAGACTGGTGCGAAGCGATATTTTCATTATGAAATTATGAGAAGTTTCACGAATAGCAAATTGCAACGGCAGATACTTTACAGATACCGATTAAGATACGGTGACAGATACAAAATACACGAGCACAAGACACACATGTTTTTAAGATAAAGGGACCATTAGGCACTGACTCAACCATCTATTTTTATATCGACAAAAACCCGTTTCGCTGGCGTTACCTCGGTCACATTTTTTCGGAAATGGGGACGTGGTGTCACACCAGCTGGTCTGTGACGTAGCTAGTAGCTTCCTAGGAAAGCCATGAGACAATAACAACAGCTGATTATTTTGTTTATCAACTCATGCTGCTAGCGTCTTTTTAGTGGGAACAGTTATGGTGAACAGCCACTTCAAATGTAGAAAACGTTAGTGTCTAGCAATGGTGATCCCCTTGGGTTTCTGAATGTTGGTAATAAAAATTTGCACAGTCTGTATGTGGAATAGTTATACTGAAAATATATCGGCAATTGCTGTATTTCACCACTAACCAAATAATATAGACTGGTCAAACCGTACATTTGGTGGTGACAAGCGTTTTTTTTGCGGCTGGTCCAAAGTCGCCTTCGTTTTTGTTCGGGTTCGAGACATGCCCGCATGCTCTCACAGCAAGAGAGTAAGAATACATATGACCTGTGTCGTGGAACGGCATCGCTGTCTTTTTATTCGCTTACTCTACAGGAAATTGCTTTGGTTTACTCTCATCCATATGATTTGTCAGATAGAACGGCATCGCTGTTTTTTATCTCGCTCCCACTACAGGAAACTGCTTTGGCTTACTCTCAGTGATCTTTCAATTTGTCTATGTACCGTTTAAATGTTTGTGAGTGTATGTGTCCGCAAAAGCAAAAATGCCCACAAATTCAATTTTTCTCAAAAGTCGGTGGCATTTCTTCCCTTTTGAGCGGACGAGTAATATGAAATAATGAAAGGGTTTGCCAAGTCGATGCAAAATTCTTTCATTTTAGCTCGTTCTTGTTTGAAAGGGTACCTAAGTATAGGTATGTTTGCATTTAAAAAAATGTTGTTCTTGCTATGCACGCACACTTGCACATTTTATATATGAATAGAAGCATTTATGCGCATGTGTGCCTGTTGGTCCCTGCCTGCCTGTCCGATGCAAATTTGACAATATTTTGGGATTTCTGAATTTCGAGCTCTATACACAGACACACACACACAAATGTGTGTGAATGGGATGATCATGGGCGCAAAATTGAAAAATAACATTTTTGGCAGGCGTTTGACGCGCGCCCTTCTTATTATGATTAAGGGTTTGAATTGAATAGCTTGAATATGATAAGTAAATAAAATCATTAATACAATAAATATATAATTGAAGATTTCAATTTTGCACAAATTATTTAAGTGATCAGTCACTTGACCCATGTACATACATACATACATATGTATGTATTACATAATCATAAAAAGAAGGATGCGCGACAGACGCGTGCCAAAAATGATATTTTTCAATTTTGCGCCCATGATCATCAGCCCATTCACACACATTTGTGTCTGTGTGCGTGTGTGTGTAGAGCTCGAAATTCAGAAATCCCAAAATATTGTCAAATTTGCATCGGACAGGCAGGCAGGGACCAACAGGCACACATGCGCATAAATGCTTCTATTCATATATAAAATGTGCAATTATTCGTGAATAGCAAGAACAACATTTTTTTAAATGCAAACATACCAATACTTAGGTACCCTTTCGAACAAGAACGAGCTAAAATGAAAGAATTTTGCATCGACTTGGCAAACCCTTTCATTATTTCATATTACTCGTCCCCTCAAAAGGGAAGAAATGCCACCGACTTTTGAGAAAAATTGAATTTGTGGACATTTTTGCTTGTGCGGACACATACACACACAAACATTTAAACGGTACATAGACAAATTGAAAGAGCACTGAGAGTAAGCCAAAGCAGTTTCCTGTAGAGTGAGCGAGATAAAATACAGCGATGCCGTTCCACGACACAGGTCATATGTATTCTTACTCTCTTGCTGTGAGAGCATGCGGGCATGTCTCAAGCCCGATCAAAAACGAAGGCGACTTTGGACCAGCCGCAAAAAAAACGCTTGTCACCACCAAATGTACGGTTTGACCAGTCTATATGTTATTTGGTTAGTGATTACACTAAATTCGCTGACACCTTATGCCCAGTGCCGAGGTAAATGAAGAAACATTCGAGCATCCTCCTATATATGTATGTATATATATGTACTTACATATATACAAAAACTGAAACTGGAATTTCTATATGTTAGGTCCACACTATGGGAAACTTAGTCTATAATAAATTCAGTGATTATAGTCCAATCATTCTAAAAGGGGTTTTTTGCTTCTATTTTGTTTATTTTTATTTAAAATTTCTATAGAGTCCGAAACCGACGGGTTCATACAGATGGCTTGGAACCACAACTCTAGATTAACTCCGGCTGTTGCCTTAACATTATAAAGTACACGTTTTTATGAGCTCTTTAAAAAAGTTGAAATCGGATTCAGCTGTACTTGTCACTCATTGAATATTGGACCTTCATGTCATATCAAAGGAGCTACATTTTCCGAAAAGTTTAAAATAGGTCTCAAAAGCAAGAGACAGTATTTTGGACTGTGAACAAGTACATTTGCACACGGCTTCAACTGACTTACTTCTTATAGCTTGTATAAATTGAGAATAGATACAAATTATAATGGATTTGTTCAAAGGTATGTAACAAGCGAAAGGAAGAATATTCGTCTTCAGAAAGTATATAAATATATTAAAATATATTCTAAAACTGGACACTTGAAACACATGATTTTATGTTTGTACATATATAACACACAGAAAGAGCTTATACATATTTTTCAATATCTCACTCGACACATGTACATACTATCTATAATTATCGATTAAAGGCATATGGGAATTTGAGACACCAAATTTGTTAGTAAAATTCTTGTATAGTATTTTTATATCATGTACCCATTGAAAATGTATAAAAAATTTATAATGATATTCTGCAAATGTATGTAACAAACCGAAGGAGTCGAAGTGGAGTCGGCTTTTCGTTCAGTATACACATCCCCTATCCAGCAAAATTAAATAAACAAAACATTATTAATTCGCTTAGCGTATGGTATAGGAGAATATTTGACTTGAATTGCAAGTCTCTGACTTTCGTAGTTTTAGAGATCGACGCGTTTATATAGACGGACAGAAGGACAGAAAGTCTAAATTTGTTTAACGTGGCGTGTACCCCGGAGGGGTTTACTACCACGGTATTCGAAAATACAGCGAGCCGAAACAAGCGTCGGACTAGCGCCCCTCCAAGACACTGCATGTGCAATGTCCCTTCGGTACCAATTGAATGCATGCTGGACAGAAGGACAGACGGACTGGCGAACATAGGTGGACCGACTCAGCTCTTAGTCATAAATTGACCAGTCAATAATATATTATAGATTTAATGAATTCGCGGATGCCTCCACCTGCCTGCCGCACACATTCGCACGAAACCATTATACCCTTTTTACCCATTTTCATAGCTAGAATGACTAAGATATTGATGCTGACCAAAAATATACATACTATATGGGATCGGAGATGATTTCTTCTGCCTGTTACATACATTTGGACAAAACCATTATACTCTTTTTATCCATTTTCAATGGGTGGGTTAAAAATGTTATAAGAGCTAGATACATTGAACTTGGCGTGTAGCTTCATGTGTAGTATATACAAAAATATTGCACTTTGTGGACGCCTCCCACCATTGTCCACAAAATTTTAATAAACTCATCTACAAAATTATTGGGCTTCATATTTATTTCATAAACACTATAAACACCTATGCTGTTCCATATATTAGCAAGTGGCCAATTCAGATAAATAAATTATAAAGATAAAAATAGATAATATAATATAATAAATACAATAAAAATAATTTGACTATTTATCTCTATATATAAAACTGTTTGTCCTGACTGACTGACTGGCTGATTGGTGATCAACGCACAGCCCATACCGTAAGAGCTGAAATTTTAACTGTAGTTACCTTATGTGGTGAAGGTGCATGTTAAGACGGGATGTGTGTTTCAGCGATTTTGGAAATTCTACCGGCAACTGTGGATGGAAATGGGCAAAAACACTTGCATGTAGTTTTTTGTATACCATCGGATCGGCTTCAAGCTCATTTCAAAGTTTTTGACATGTTTTTTTTTTATGACGCTTTGCAAATCCATCCCTTTTGAATGAAAAATTTAGGTCAAAGGTTGAATGAATGAATGTTTATTTTTTAACTTCAACAACACTGGACTAAAATGGACTGCAAACTCAGTTTTAAATGCCGATGTAAAAAATAATTTTAAAACTTGATTTTAAGATAACAGGAGCTAATTAAATTTTCATTGGGCGGAAAATTTGATACGTATTGATGTCTGAAACTTGAAGCAAACAACTTGAACCGATCAAGTCCGGGAAATACCAGCTAGCATAATATACATAAAAGCTTTTTAGCTTCAGTGGGTTAAAATTTCTTAGTTTCGTTCGCTTAACATGTTAGGAGCCTCAGTTCCCAAGGAAATTCTTAATAATTTGCATGCCAACATTCTGTATATATATGTCGATATCTAAGCTGTAGATAGTTTTTGCTCACTGATTTTATGGGCAAGTTGAATAGTTGTTAAGTAAAGCGGACAGGCAAAGCAGAACAAGACTTTCAATTACACAGATTGCGGGTGACATAGTAGCGCGGTCTAGATAAGATTCCCGTATACAGGGTGTTGCACAGACCAATGGGTGGGAGTCAGATGTCGACGCTATGGGAATTGCTGGTGCAGCCTGTATAGTTTATCAATTTAAAGACGTCGCCAATGCGCGACTGGCAGGCAGAGGCCACTTTTACCTAAGAACTGCTTGCCCAAATCGTATATAATCAGTTAAATGACGGCGTTTGAGCGTATAAGTTTGTTGCCTGTAGCACAGCCTAAAGACTTGAACTCAAAGTGCGATTACACAATTTCACACTGCCACGAAAGTGCACGCAAAACAAATCGACATCGACCCACATTTAAGAGAGCACATCATGATGCTAAAACGCATCCATCAGTTACTTCTATACGCGCTGTGTCTGCTTATCTTGACTGTGTTGTGTGCACCAGCACCGAGTGAATCGCGGCGGGTGATCTTCTTGGCGCCACCCGGAATTGCCCGCGGGCAGATACTGGCTACGCATGGCATGGAGAAGTCTTGCCAGAAGTGCCATATGAGAGACCACCGTGGCAACTGCCGGCGCATAATATCGTACAGTTCAGGTGTGTATTTATAGCGTCTGCGCCGTGAGATAATCAAAGCCTATGGCCACTTCTGTGCTTAAGAGTGTGCTTTACTTAGGAGGCACTTTTTAATTTGCTTTTGCAGATGGCGTGAGCTGCTGACATCGAGGCCGGACGTAGTTATGTCGTGGCTATCAAACTGAATCTCTAATTCACTCAGAAACCAAAACAAAACACGTCATTCGTATTTATTCGCCTTTCAGTGCACTATTTATTACATTATTTCACAGTTCTTTTGTCTTCTGCTAATAAAATTTGATGAACTTCTGCAAGCATTATAATAATATTTTGTTTGCATATTACACAATATGAGGAGTGCCCGACTACGAAATTGCCTGAACCCATCGCCGTGTTGCCGTCTCAAATATTCAGACTTCCATGTGATTCGGAGTAGTAGGTCGATGTCTTACGAGTCCCTGGTAAGAAGTATTATGACTGCGAATTTGGAAACACAAATCTGTGATTTATAATTAACTTGAACTGCACTGCACGTTTACACTGGGAGGAACTCTGCTTTAAATTTAATATGTCCACCTCCTTTAATTTCTGAAACCAACACGTTTATAAATACCCACAGACGGACGGCCGGTCGGACGGACACACGAAGATTTGGGTAAATCGACTCGGCCTGTTGATGCTGATCTTCTGCCTGTCACATACGAATATCATTACACCTTGTTAAAAATGAGCAAACAGCGCTCGGTCAAAAATCGAGAAGTTCCAGCGGCAAGCCCGCATACAATACACTAAGCATACTATATTTTGTTGTATGATGGAACATTACTTCTTTGGACAATGGCGGGTCCAAATGACGAAAATACATTTTATTTTTTAATAAACCTTAACATCTATTTTTGTTTATTGTTTGTAAGGTCAGTTCATATACATACTTCACCATTACTTATTCAAATCTAAAACCTTTTATAATCGAAAAAATAAAGTAAAGCTTATTTAGCGACCTACATGCCTTAGTTATAAAGATTAGACGTCGATAAAGTACTTCTTGTTAGAGTCTATCAACAAAGGTCTAATATATTTTAATGCTGAATTCTGAACGTCGACTTTCCGAATTTCCAAAACAAGCCCACGAATAGTCACAGCATAAATAAATTTTTGTGTTTCTTAAAATGTCATGAATGTGCTCCTTAGATATTTTAAAAATTTAATCAAAATCGGAGTATTATATCTGTCAGATGAATCAGCTGATAATTTGTTTTATTATTTTACATAGTACTTATTTATTGAATATCTAGTATTAAATTTCTTGTTGGACTAACACTAACGTTTCAAATATTATTCTAATTTCTGTTACAATTAATTTATGTATTTTATTTATGTTAAACGGCTCTTGAATAGCACAAAGGATTTGGGTGTGAGTCGAGCTTTGCGCAGTGTTTGTCTTCTTGCTCTGGTATCTTTTCTCTGTGAAAGTTTTTTTTTCCGGAAGTACCACGGGTCCTCAGCTTGCAAGTTTGCAGTTCGGGCTTCTTTACCATCCGAACGGGCTCGGACTTATTTTCAATGACCTCTGCTTAAATTTATTTAATGCGTTTTTCAATTGAACAGAAAATTAAAATCTCTCTTGTGGAAACAGGGGTCAAAGATTTGGTGGGTAAAGTTTCGATTTCCAAATTATTTTCAAGAATCCTAATAAAAATTCATTTTAATTACATATGTATGTTTCACATCTTTCGCAGAATCCAAGCTTCCTTCGTGCAAAATCCGAATCAATAATTTTTTGGGCGAACATTAAATTTAGGTCCAATAATAAAAGTTCGCTTCATGTATTAAATTTTATTAAATAAAAACTGATAAATATGCACACGTATCTATGTGCTAAACTATTAGACAGAGACATATGTACATGTAAGTACATGTTAACCTCTTTCTGTACATTAAATAACAGCTCTTTCAATTTATGTTCACGTCACTTAAATAACTTTTTAAAAGTGCCAGGTTTTTTTTAAACGTTTATCGGCAGGAAAGAATCAATTATTCTCTTAATAAGAGCACCTTGGCAGAGCTGCGAAATAAAACGATTTTTGCGACTTTCTTTATCAATCCCTAATAACGAGATGGAACAAA